TTGGGTTCTAAAGTCAAAGTCAACTTTATTGTCAATCTTCCAGTTTGTGTGTACAGACAGAGAGATCGAAATACCGTTTCCCACAATCCAGAATATAAAACAAATGTATATAAAAATATGTGTGAAAATATGTATATATATATATACACACAGAATCAAAGACACATTTTTACATGTGCACACATAAAGACCTAAATAAAAACACAACAATCAATATATACAAAATAACGGAGTGTAACCGCAAATCCCCAGGGTTGCCATGATCGGTGATGTTGGGGGCCAGTATAACATCTTTTAATGTGGCCAGGACTCCTCTTGTTGCCCCTTGACAGGTAATCAACTTTGCAGAAATTCAATCGGCCAAGGTTTTCGGACACAGGCAGATATTTCGTAAATACGGTATTGATGCCGTTAGACAGTCAAGCGTTCAGACGGGACCACCCGTCTGAACGCTTGACTGTCTAACGGCATCAATACCGTATTTACGAAATATCTGCCTGTGTCCGAAAACCTTGGCCGATTGAATTTCTGCAAAGTTGANTCTTGGAGGAGATTCAGGTGATAAGGGGGGGGGTTACCTTGGTTGCTGATTGGCTAATGGTTACACAAGCCAAAACATAAAGTCTGATTATCTCATTTTCAGACAGGTTTTTATAGAAATGGATCAGGACAAAAAGAGAGAGAATCTTTTTTCCTGAAACTTTCAGAGTCTCTTTCCACAGAGGGGACACATGTTGATGTAGAAGAGACATGGAGAAGAGGGGACACATGTTGATGTAGAAGAGACATGAAGAAGAGGGGACACATGTTAGAGACATGAACAAGTGGATGTTGCATAATAGGTGACCTTTAAGAGCAGTAATGCAACCACCTCCAAACTGGTTGTGACCATGACTGCTGAAACATCCTCTGCAATGGATTTGGTGGTTAAACCGTGGTGTTAGAATATATTCATACATAATTCATGTGTATCATTATATGATATGCAATCAAAGTGTCAAGTCAGAGCCAACCACATTGCAGAGAAACCACAGGTCATGTTGAATTTTTAATAAATGATATACAATAACCTGCTGTTTTGCTCTTACTGAGCTGACAAGATTTTCCTCTACGCCTCCTGCACTAAAGTAACAAAGGTGATTTATATTAAGAAAGCCTGATGACTAATGTTGTTGAAGAGAAGGTCATGGATAACGTCCACATCAGAAACTCTGCATCACAACACTGAATCTAATAGAATTAATGGGCAGCGATGAGCTAATGAGGCTGAAACTGCTCCATTCCAGTCAATTTAACAAAGCAGTCGGCCCTTTTTGCATTGTGATCACGTACAGAAGCAAAACACACCTCATAGCTCTTCATGTACATTCTCCAACGCTCAAGGTTTCCACTGTGAAGTTCACTGGACAGTAACGGCGATTTCATCATCAGGTGTCCCTAACCAAGACAAACCATTTCCACGCTCAATCCTCCTGTGTTCACAGTTGTCTTTCTGGCAGCCATATTGGTCGTTTTACCCTCCCTTCTCTCCACCCTCCAGTCATTCCAGGAAGACAGAACTATTGTTAAATGATCCATTCGTTCTCTGTGGCTCCGTTGGCTCGTCCGGAGCTTCTGGTCGGTGGAGAGTGGCTAATCTGCCATGCTGTCTGTGTTTGTGGGGCTGTAACAGCGCTGGCTGAATGTTAATTGTATTCCCCACACAGCAGCACACCTACCAGTCTAACTGCTTGTCTGTCTGTCTGAACTGACAAACCACCCGTCTGAACGCTTGACTGTCTAACGGCATCAATACCGTATTTACGAAATATCTGCCTGTGTCCGAAAACCTTGGCCGATTGAATTTCTGCAAAGCTGATTACCTGTCAAGGGGCAACAAGAGGAGTTCTGGCCACATTAAAAGATGTTATACTGGCCTCCAACATCACCGATCATGGCTACCCTGGGGATTGGCGGTTCCACTCCGTTATTTTGTATATATTGATTGTTATGTTTTTATTTAGGTCTTAATGTGTGCACATGTAAAAATGTGTCTTTGATTCTGTGTGTATATATATACATATTTTCACACATATTTGTATATACATTTGTTTTATATTCTGGATTGTGGGAAACGGTATTTCGATCTCTCTGTCTGTACACACCAACTGAAAGATTGACATTAAAGTTGACTTTGAAACAGCTGTGTTTATTTATATAAAACACGGCTAAGGGGGGATTTGGGCAAACGTACCCGAGTTGTGAGAGCACTCGCTCCTCCAGGCCCAGGTACTTGTGCCGGTCTTCTTCTACCAGCGCTCTCTGCCTCTGCACCGGATCCTCCAGACCCCGCATGGCCTCGGCAAGTTTCACACTGATTTCCTGCTCGGCGCGCCTCAGCTGGACCCGCAGTGCCTCCTGGTTCTGGAGCTGAGGGGGTGAAGACAGTGGGAAAGAGATATTAGAAAGACCTGATCTACCACTCAAGTCTATTTTATCAGTGCAAACTCCAACACACACGAGCTGCGATCACACACACCACACACACACACAGTCACACACCACAACCTCGTCTCTCTTATTCTCTCTCTCTCTCACACACACACGCACACAACACACACACACACAGCACACCACACACACATGTCGTAGAGCATGTTGATGCACATAGAGTGGACTAAAGTGAGAGGGCGGAAATTGGGCTGAGCACATCGAGTTTATTCGAGGTCGGGGTGTGTGTGAGGACGACACCGCAACCACCAGAGCACATAACCACGCCACCACACACACGACCTTCTCCTCGCTCATACTTCTCTCGCGTGCTCGTCTGCCTCACCTCCACACCCAAACAAGGCAACAATACGCTAATCGCTAGCACACACGCTTTTAGCGTACAACAGGTTTGACACACCACACACACGTACAGCGCACTTGCTGTGTAGTTCTGATCGACGATTACACACCACACACACGACCACACCACACACTTCTCTCTCTCAATCTTATCCGTTATCATCAACACCGAAACGTAATAAGCTACGATTCTCTATCTTCCCACTCATCTTACACCACAGCCAGACAACTCACATCAACCACCGAGCACCGCCCTCACACACACACATCACTCTTAATAATCACACCGGACGACTACAGGAGCTCTGACTCACGCATCTCACTTACTCACCACAACAGACAAACACACCACACACACGCACATACACACACACGCTCTTCTCTCTCTCACACACAGGACACACACTACCCGCCGAACCGTCCGGCTCCCCATCCACACTCACTCTAGACTCGACTCTCGATCCACGACGTACCGTGACCTACCACTACACACTCTCCCTCTACCAGAGCACCTACCAACCAGTTAAACCTGGTAGTCCATTCTTCACAGAGAAAAACCAACACAACGAGGGCAGCGTACACACACACGCCGACCGACCACACGCTCCATAGTTGCTGACCAGTACATACTTAGGTTTCTCACCCCTCTAGCGGAGGTTATATTGTCGACTCGCGGCCAAGGGCATCACAGGTTCCGAGTCTAGACACACGGTCGAAAGTGTCCCCACTATCTTACAAAATCTGTACTTCGGAGTCCCTACGTTCGATCGTATACTGGTCTCTCACTCTTGTTATCGTGTCCCGTTCACATCCTGACTCCTACGAAATGACCGAAACATATTACAACACACACACAGGATCACGAGTCTCATACACTCAGATCTCAATCGTCACAGTCACCCACACACACACACTCCACACTACACACACCATACATCCTACATCAAATACCACTCCAATCTTCACTGCACCCTACCCTGGTCACTCCTAACCCTCACGCATTATTTCGTTTAGCGAATGTCACTGTGAAGTCAACGGCGACAAAGAAAATAGCGACAACCTAAATAAACGTACACTACTCCTTCTCAACAAACTATTTATTATATACACGTTCTCTCACACCACAACCAGAGGCTACTTCTTTCTCTCATCTCCTCACAGTAGCACATCACACACTTAATCACTACGACACACTCCTATCATCTCAACACATCCTAAGTCACACACACACACACACCCACCACACCCACACTCTCACACATCCACCTCTCTCACGCACACGGACACAGACTCTCTCACTCAACAACAGTTCACACACACCACCACACACACACACACACACACACACACACACACACACACCCAGCACGACAGACTTCACAAAACTTGACACCACACCACCACACACACACACACACAACACACACACACCTCTCTCTCACTCACGACACATTAGAGTAGGAGGACATCACAAACAAGACACACGCACAGCACATCACAAGGCGACACGGCACACCAACACACACATAGCACACACGCGGAATAGCCCTATACACAGTACCAGCACCACTCTCTCTCTCTCTCTCTCTCTCTCTCTCTTCTCACACACACACAAGCCACACAACACACACCACACACACACACACACACCACAACACACACACCACATACAGCCCCACACACACACACAACTCTCTCTTCTCTCTCTCTCTCTCTCTCTCTCACACCTACACTCACACACACCACACACACACCACACACACACACACACACACACACACACACACACACACACACACACACATCCACACACACACCACACACACTCTCTCTCTCTCTCTCTCTCACACAGCACACAGCAAGCACCAGCACACACTTACACACAGCGCACACACAAACAAACCAACATACACATTCTCTCTTTCTCACACACACACACACACACACACACCACACACCACTTCACACACACTCTCTGATCTCATCAAAATATAACACGAGTTAACAGGCTTTAGCGACAACACAAAGAGTGTGCTCGTAGAGACAATTCTATTCGCATACGCAACATAAGTGACCTTAAAGTGAGAGACGAATTGCTACTCAGGGCTTATCGAATCGGTGGGAGGGACACACTCGAGTCGAGCACGAGAACTAACCAGCTCACTGCAACGACTTAGCGCGAGCACACGAGGCACCACCAACAAGAAATGCAATGTGTCAGGTACACCATCTGGTGTGTTTGTGAGTGTCGAGTCCATTTTTGTCATTAAAACACACACAGCAACAGGCATACACACACACACAGCTCATTCTCTCTCCAACTATTGCCGACACCAACTTACCGCAGACGACACTCTTAAATCGGCGCTAGGGTGACAAGGACATACGACGTCGGTCCACATCGCTCCAGTCGTCTCGTCGACGTACGACTCCAGACACCAACCCATCCTTCCAGGCACACTAACCAGTTAAACACACTGATTAGTCACATTCTTCGAGAAACAATACACTCAGCAGTACGTCTGCCCTAAAAGGGGACTAGAACCGAAGGCTCTCTCCACAGCGAGGAGGTAGATTGATCGGCAAGGGTAGTTTCGGTTAAGAGGAACTGTCAGTC